TTGTGGCACTGTAGGAGGCCCAGGATGGACATGTCGTCTGAGGAATTGGAGGGGGAGTTGAAATGGTTCGCGACAGGGAGGTGCAGTTGTTTATTGCGAACCGAGCGTAGGTGTTCTGCAAAGCGGTCCCCGAGCCTCCACTTGGTTTCCCCGATGTAGAGGAGGCCACAACGGGTACAGCGGATGCAGTATACCACATTGGCAGATGTGCAGGTGAATATCTGCTTGATGTGGAAAGTCTTCTTGGGGCCTGGGATGGGGGTAAGGGTGAGGAAAGATAGTATTGAGCTGGAGACGGTTCAGAAGAGATTCATCAGTAGTTGCCGAGTATGTAAGGTTCGAGTTATAAAGAAAGGATGGATAGGCTGGGAGTATTTTTTTTCACTCGAGTGTAGGATGTTGAAAGTCAGCTTATAGAAATTTATAAAATAATGAGGGGGTAAGACAGAGTTAATGGTAATTGTCTTTTGCCTGAGATGCGGGTAATTGAAGAGCAGCGTGGACATTTTTAAAGTGACAGGAGAGAGATTTAAAAAAAGACACGAGGGGTTTTTTTCATGGAGCCTGATGCATGTGGAATGAACTTCCTGACGAAATGGTCTATGTGGCTACAATTACAACATTAAAACGATATTTGGATAAGTACATAAATATGACAGGTTTGAAAGGAAATAGGCCAGTGAGAGGGAGGTGGAACTAGTTCAGTTTGGCATTATATTCGGCATCTACTGATTGGACTTAAGGGTCTGTATCCTTGCTGTATAACTCTATATGAGAGAAAAACGGACACAGGCTATGGATGATCTGCCATTTTGATGAGTGGGAGGAGAGGTTTGAAGGGACGATTAGTTAGGTCCAGTTGCCATTATCTATGTTTCTGTGTCTGTTGATTTCCAGAACCAATGTTGAGTATAGTCGCCGGAATGAAAAATACCAATGTGGGTCAATATAACTTCAAACCAGATGATTGGCTCTTGCAGCTGAATCTGGAGAAGAGCGAATCTCCGGCGCACAGACCTCAGAGAGTTTAACGGTTACTAAGGAGAAAAAAACTACAACTAACTGCCTGGATATCGGAGCAAAGGCTGAAAGGAAAAGAAATTATATCCTTCCACATTTATATTTCGCGATATTTCTGGCCTGTGACTGTATGAATGAGAATATTGAGTCAGAGAGACTGTAGGTAAAGGGCGGGCGGGTGAGTCTAACGTAACTGTGTTTGTGTGTCCGCTCATATCATGATATTTCTGATTATTTCTTGTGGAAATCAAAAAGATTTTCAATTCAACTTATCCCCTTGCTCCCTCACTAAACCCCAAAGCTAGAATTCAAGCCAATGTATTTGTTGATTTTAAGATTTCAGTCTACAAGTGACGATAATGTCAGCGCTCAGCTCAGAGAGTACGATCAGTGCAGCAGCAAAATGCGTTCAACTCGACAACGGAGCCGTCAATTCGAATGAAAACATTTTGGCCACAAACCTTCCCGTGTCAGGGTCAGGAACGATCGAGCCTGGCTATCTGGAGATGCGGAATTGCAGAGGAATTGGAGAGATTCTGCCGAGAGAGAAACACAGAGAGGCAGCAGGAGCAGGGAGCTGA